ATGAATGAATGAATGAATGAATGAATGAATGAATGAATGAATGAATGAATGAAATGAAATAACGAAATGAATGGATAAATGAATCTCACACATGGCAATAGAAATAATGCACTGGCCAATGACAATCAAAATTGGATTTCTTATCAAACTATTCTAGGCCAAAAAAAGACACTATTTAGAAAAAAAATCATTTGACTCTTGGCAGTGCTGTTAGATTCTCACAAACTGCCAAACCTCAAGATGAGAGTTGTCAATTGCAATCATTGTTCACTGTTGATGGACATCCTTATGTTTGCAATATTTTCTTCAAAATATCACTGATTTTTGTACATTGTTTTAAAGGGAATTTGAAAATACAGTAAAACCTGTCAAAATCAACGCCTGCATAAACCAACCTACTGTCAGAATCGACCGATTTATGTAGCCCCAAAATTTCACCATAGACGCCTATGTTAAAACAACCTGTGAAATCCGACCACTGTCTACTCTGAACACCGACCACATTGATTGGTCCCAAGTCCAATATTCATACTTAATACATCAACCATCCGACCAGTTGCATCACATCCGCTGTCTCGTAATCCGGTCTGCTTGACATAAAAAAGTGCGTATCGTGTTCAATTTACCGTGAATGTCACAGAAACAATACCAAATCTCACACTACAAGTAACTTCCCGTTAAAACAATGGCAACTGATGGAGTTTTTCACACCACACGCCCACGCATTGTGTGGTGTCTGGACAGTATAATGACCCCGGATATAAACAAATGATCCGCGTTATCACCTTCAGTTGCAGGTGAAGTGCACTGCATTAACACCTCTTCAACGACCAAAAGACATTGATTTTTCTCTATTTTATAACGATTCTGATCGATAACTTTGTGCTTTCGGATGTTTCCATAACGGGGGCTTCAAGATTGAAACTAAAATTGACGATGACAAAGAAGCCGACGACAACAAAGAAATTGGAATCCTCATTTAACAAGTTGCAGACCAACAAACACAGTGTAGCATTGATGAATACCTCCACTTTGATGAACGTATACCAACTGAAGCAACGTATGATGACGAGTGGGAGCAACAGAATGTTGAAAAATATATTACAGACAAAAAAAACCATGAATCTATAGATAATGATAATACCGGTATAAATTGCGACAACAGTCAAATAACCCCCCCCCCCCCACCCCCC